CATGGAAGAGTCAGAGACCAAAGCAAATACTTTGTTCAACTCCACAAAGCACCCAAGTGGACCAGTAAACTCATTATTCCTCTATTCATCGAAGTCCAGAACTTAGTGCTTAGTGAAATGCCCAAATTCACATCTCAGCAAAAGTTATTAGGTACACATGAATCTAGCACTGCATTTACACACATTTTGCACTCACCAGGGTCATCCCCATTGGCCCAGGAACTTCAGCTCAGCACTGAGTATTCAGCCCCTGCCTGAGCTGTGCCAGAGGAATATCTGTCCCCATCTCTCCAAGTTTCAATTTTAGCAACTCCTGCAATGGTCTATTAAATAGATCATTTTTTCCAGCCATAATAACTCAAGCATGTAAGATGGGGTTAAAAAGTGTATCTGAAAATCACCTGAATAAAAAGATCCCTGTCAGTTTTGTTCATTGAATATTTTCTAGGAAGAGAGAATGCAAAGCATAGGTTGCTTAGGCAATTCTTATTTCTGCCTTGCTAGAAAAGAAAATTCTTGATGCCATCACACAGGCACATAGGAAGGGTATGGATGTAATACTCCTACTGGTATGAAAGGGATATTATATAACTTATTATCATTAGTATTCACCCTTTGATCATGCACTATTGGCTTGTATGCTGGTTGATTCACATCCTGCATAAATACCAATACAGAGGGAGTAGTTCAGCCCATTCCATTTCCTTTGTGGAGGCTTTGTAACGATGGTTGTTGTTTGTTCCTTGTTGCCCGATACTGACATCACTACAAACTTCCGGGGCAGCATAGCAGCCATCTCCCTTTCTGGTTCACCCCATTGCCTGCAAGAAATGTCAGCTCGAAGAGTCGTAAGATGCACAGCTGCAATTATGGATGAAGAATATTGCCGACCACACTGCTATGAGTGGTACATAAAGCAGCAATTAAAGGATAAGTAGATCTCTTCGACATGCCTACTTCTGGTATTTCCCTGCATTGCTCAAGCAAAAATTAAGACTTTCCTTGCTCTAAGGACAGGCCACTTGTTTCTTCTAACTGTCTCCAGTGCTGCCAGCCTGGCCCAGTGTTCCTTAGCACAGAAAATAAAAATTTCCAATACAAAAGCACCCACAGAACAGGAGGAACTCAGTGCATTACGTGCTGTGGCATTTGCTTGTTGGATGACAATCGCAGAATGGCCATGCCAGCATAGGCTCCTTTCAGTAACAGGCTGGTGAGGGCACATGGGACAGCTTCAGGGCTTGCTGAGTTTGCTGAACAAAGCTGTTATGCATTAGTCCCACTAGATTTCTAGGAATGGACTGCAGTCCCACATCCACAAGACTTAACAAGTGCAAAATCACTTTCAACAGAGACTTCAGTCCCAAACATGAAAAGCTGGGTGTCCCATTACCAGTCCCCCAAGCTCTCTTGTTGTTGCCTTATTTTGCTTTGATGCCTTTAGCTGTACTTCAAAAGCCTTGGCCCTGCAAACCTTAATCAAGGAAATCAAAAAGAATTTCACTAGATTAAATCAAAAGAAGATTTACAAGATTAAGGACAGCAGAATCAGGAATTCAGGTTGAAAATGAGAACTCTGAAGTGCTCAATATACAATAAAGAAATATAGTCTTCCTTATATGCCTGGGATGGGGATTTCCAAGTAGGTGTGATGGAAAAAGCACCCAGATCCCACTGAAACTCCTGGGAGTCTGGAACCTAATTGCATTAGGGTACTTAAAAAATCTCAGTCATGCTTATTAATTGTCTGTGATAAAATTTAAGTGATATATTTGCCCTTCTCTTTTACAAAGCAATAACCCAATTAATGTGTGGATAAACTAGGAGGCCAAAGGGAATTGGATTATGTCTTAGGAAAACAGAAGAGCAATTAAAGTATCACTATTATAGGACAGATTGAATTAACATAGTAATGAAAACATTCCTCCCTGTTTGGGAAAAGGGGGCTAAATCTCCAGTTATGTCTGAGGATTACCAGCAGCGAAAGCTCCTCGTCTGTGCATTGGCATCACAGCCATCATTTCATTGCACATGAAGTGGCTACACAGGAGGACTGTAAAAAACAAAGATAAAAAGAGTGAAGGTTCATTCACCTCTTTCTAATCCAAAGCTCCACTCTCCTGCCAACCTCAGTCTGCACACCCAGGGGATGCTGCTGCCCTGCTTCCAGACAGTACTTTAATTTGGAGTCCAAATGAATTCTTTAATTAACGGAGAGCAACTTCTACCTAAAGCAAGTTCATTAAACACATGAATCCAACATTGGTCATAATTTGCCCTCGAAATTAAAATAATGCCTCCAGGAAAACATAAGATTGTCTTACAAACCCATAGAAAAGTATAACCATAAACCAAAATGCCTTTTAGCAACAGAGCAACCTTATTTTACCCAGACTACCAAACCTACGGCACAATTATAATTCTAATCTACGGGCCAACTTGGCTTTACTAAGTATAAAAGTCATGGAAAAGGGTATACAGAATGGTTATCACTAGCTTATGGCTTCTTTCTCTGTATTGTCCAAGGGCTGCAGCCTCACTTATAGCTCAGACAGAAGTATCAGTGTGCACAATGTTGCAGAATGAGTTATTGCCTGCTGTAACGGAATGGCTTCTGAAATCGTGGTGATAATGCTTAATCATGTATTTTGCAACTATGTTCCCCAGAGTCATAAGGATGCAAAACAGTGCTGGAAACACATTAGCAAGAGAAAGAAAGTCTTCGGTCTCTCTTATGACTATGTTAAAACGCTGCATTTTGCTTTGTGCTTGCTGGGATGTGAGTTTAGCTTTTGGAATATTAAACAAACTGACAAGCTAATGAGTTTTGCCAGTGAACAGACTTTCAAATTTAAAAATAGGGTCAGGTTTATCTTAATATTGATGTATCCCTGCTCTTACAGATTGTCCTGCAATAAGCACCCAGAACCTAACACACTTCACAGTAACTAAATCTTCCTTCTTAACTCCACTTCCAGTAGCAGTCAATGCTTGCTAGGAATGGAGTTACACAGCACGGCCGGATGTCAGCACCAAATGCAGTCCTCCTCTCTGCCTTCCTTCAGCTCTGACATTCATCACCTCTTGAATTTTGCTACCTTTTTTTTCCTATTTGCCACAGGTGGGGTGGACCCATGGAGAACCTGCCCCAGTCTTATGAGGTGTACAGACAACTTCAGTTATTTGCACTTGAATCAGTCATGGTAGACAAACATAAACTACTCATCTCAGATGACCAAAGGTGAAAGCTTGTGGCTGAGGTTTGTCCTTGTCCCTACTGTTACTGCAATACGCCCATGGCAGGCTTCATTCTTCTGCTGTTTTACCCTTGGGCCCTGTGGAGCCCAGCTGTGTGATCCTAGAGATAGACAAGACATGCACTGACCCTCTGCCCAAGCCAGCAAGCTCCACAACAAAGATACTGCACTCACTTCAAAGCTGGCTGCTGGCTCACTTTGCCCTTCTCATTTAAAGTTGATTTGATCCCATAGGTTACAGCACTTAAGAAGACTGCAGGGGATACATGGTATTAAAAAGCGGAAGCACTAGGAAACACCAGCCCTGAAGATTCCTAACCAGAGCTGAGCAATGGGTATTAAGCAAAAAATATAAAAGGTTATGAATTATTGAGAAAAGAGAAACATTTTTCATGCAAAATATCCTTAGCAGAATTGTATGAATCACACTGACTGGAGACTGGATATTTAAAGATATTGTCCTAGTTTGGGCCAATCTCAGTCCCTATTAATGCATCCGTTATTCCAAAATATCCATCAAATTTTGGCAAAGACGACATTAATTTCAGCTGGTCTGTGCTCACTGTCACGTGTGCATAAGGTCAAGATGTTGTCTCCTCCTGTTTCTGGCTAGAATTTTTCAAGTGAGAGGACATCTTAAAATGATTTTGGTGATTGCTTTAAGAAACTTGTTTTGCAAGGGTACATAGAAATGTGATCAAACATGAACACAGCCTCATGGTAAAGGGTCTTCACAAGGAAGCCTTCACTACAGCAAATAAGGTCCCTGTGCTCTCCTTGGTGTTATCACTACAACATTTCAGATACCAGAAATATTAAGACCACAGAGCGCAAGAGATAACAAAAGAGGTACAGAGATCATCCTGGCAGTAAAGAAGAGAATGCCAGTTTCAAGATCCTGTCCAAAAGAAGCAGCTAGCAATGCATTTTGAAAGGACATCCTCTTTCTAATAAGTTACAGCTGGTTGGAAGAGATTGTAGCTAGAAAAAATGGACTTTGGAAGTCTGCATTCACAATTTACCCACACATCTCCCCATCACCACCCAAGAGAGAGTTGACATTTCTGCACACTGCTAAAACCTCAGCTTGCCCGGAAAGTCATCATACAGAAGGTGTAGCCTTAAACTGGCTGATCTAAGAACTGCAGTTTATCTTTTCGAGTGCATTCAGCACGGAGCAGCTGTAAATTTACCAAGGGTGGGTTTTCACAACCTGCCAGGGCACGTACATATGCATACCAGGTCCAGTGTCCTAATGCAGTCATAAAAGATCAATGCTCATAAAAGCAGCCAAACAAATTTTCTGGCTCGTTTGATTTTCAAGTGTGCAACCAGAAGATCTGAACACAGATTTTTTTTTCCCTCCGTTTGAAATTCTTTTAATCTTCCTAGCAAAAGAAGTTTCTTCAGATTCTGTCCTCACTTTCTTCTTTGCCTCCCTCCAACAGCAGCCCCTCTGCTGTTTTAACAAGCTATCAGTCTCTTAACGCTTCAGAGCATTCAAACATTTCCTAACAAGTGCCTGGAGAGGGACCAGGAAGAAGGAAAATGATTATTTTCAATCCATTCCCTAGTCAAACCTCTTACATTTTAACTGCACTTGAGCTGAAATTCATTAGCAAATTGTAGGTAAAGAATTCAGAGAAAGAGTCAAAGTAGCTTTCATGGAGACTATTCCCTGCAGTCTGGTTACCGAACGGATAAGGGGAAAAACTCACATCAATATAAACATTCATCCTTTGAAAAGCCCTTTTTTTTAAGCTACTCCTCTGAAACACTGAACTTTTTCTTTACATGGTTAATATTAATAATTCACTAGTACTGAAGTGATTCCAGCATTTTATTCCATTTTTAAGCTAGAGCATTGCTTTCATCTTCACAGACTTAAGTCAGGCAGCATTTAACTGAGATCATGTTAACATAATGAGACAAAGATCGTTCTGTGGTTAAGGCCCTGCTAATGCTTGGGAGCTCTGAGTTCAGTTCAGCTTCTGCCCTGCAGTACTTGTTGGACCCCAGGGAAGTCATTTAGTCAGATTGCTCCCAAAGGCATCTCTCTTCCACGTTTTCTGTTAGACAAAAAAAGTAGAGCTTAATAGGAAATCAGTTCTTGGTTGCATGAAAACAGCAGGATTTACAGAAATGTTTTTGGGCAAAAATTACAGCCTTTGTGGAACTGAAACCTCACGTTATTAATTAAACTTGATGTGGCATTTTGGAAAGACTGGGACTTCTAAGTAAGTGAAAAAATAGTGACCATGCAGAGATGCATAAGCTCTGTCAGAAGTGTGGGAACTCCAGTCACTTCCACACAACCACTGAGATTTGACAAGTGGAAAATTCCTGTTCAAGAAATTCCCTACTAGTCTTGCAGACAAGCTCCAACTACAAGCTCTTCCATGTAGAGATGAGCTCTAATTACCCAAACCTATCAGTATTAGGAACAGGGGATACCTGCCATTCGCTGATACATCCATGTGCTAAATAATAGCACACGCCTAATAAGGAGCAGTTTCTTTAATATGCAAGATGGCATTATGAAATTAGAAAGAACCTTCTGACAACAGCTGCTTTCAAATGTCTCATTTACACTGTAAAAGCTGTTGCTTCCTGTAATAATTGGGAGGGAGAGGAGGGAAACCGCACGTAAGCTGATCCATGCCCCCAGGTACTGTGCACGCAGCTCCTGTCAGATCAAAGAGGAGCCATGCTTCGAGTCTGAGGGGAGAACTTGGCCTCTGGCACTTTAAAGAGAAATAAGCTGGAGCATGCCTTGTATTTAGTCAGTACTCAGCCCATATCTTTGATGTGTGATAACAGTGAGGCAGGTAAAGCGTAAGGGGAGGCCTAACAAGTCATAGCGTAAGTGAGAAACGCTGTTACAAGTCCAGGGAAGGCTGAATGAAATAACATTTGTGCTTTTCTGAGAAAGCCCAGACGTATGTCTCAGTCGTGAAAAGGTTCAGACAAAAAAAGAAAAAAAGCACAGAATCCAGAAGCCTGCAGTTACTAACCTTGGAGGTAAGGTGAGTGGCCAAGGAACCAATCCATCTGCACTTGGTGCGGGGGCTCAGAAGGAGGTGCTTGGACTGCAGGCACACTTTGTATTTCATGCACACACAGAGGACCAACCCTGCTCAGGACAAGAAAATTTCACTTACAAGAACTGCAAGATACCATTTGAGTAAGCTTTGGGTAAGGGAATCTTTCTATCCTGGTTAGATGTGCTTGAAGTCCACAATACCTCAGTGTGCAACGTTGATAGGTTTTATACTTGCTCTCCATTTCAGATTTGTTGTTTCATAAGGAAAAAATATCCTAGGATATACATGGGGCTTAAATCAGTACAGTAAGGTTATGCAGGGAAGTCATGCTTGTGCACGTTACACATGTTTAAATGGCAAAAATAAACTACTGTGTAGAAAGCATGATGTCATAAGATACCTGAGAGCCAAAAACAACAAACTGGCCTGATTTGACTTGTTTTCCATTTGCAAGATGCCTTCAGCAAGTTTTTGTTCATGCTGACTTTTCAAGGAAACAAATACAAAGACGGGAAGATGCTCCTTTGTCACTTTTTGTGTAAAGAGAAGAGAGAATTTAAGTTCTCAAAATGGAAAAAAAAAAAACAACCAAACAACAGACTTAGGCTGCTGGTGAAGATTCTTATGTCCTAAATAAATCATCTTCTGCTGCTCCTAAAGATGTGATTGATTCGAGGGTCAGATAGAACATGACAATTGAATGCACTTGCTAATAGTCATTAGTCATCTGTCTTCAGTAAGTGACCAAATGTTGGTTTAACCTTCCTCATCCAACAAACACCACCAGCTGATCTGATGGCTCTAGCGATGAGTGTCACCCCCAGGAGATGGGAGAGGAAAAAGACTTGACAAAGTGAAAGGTAAACAGTGGCACCAGATCATCTCTGACTTTGACACTGGGGACATCCTCGTACAACCAGGATTGTCACTTAGAGCTGATGGATTTATTTATTTTTGGAAACCAATTCATGATATTTAATACCAGCTTCAATCTCAGGCTCCTTTTAGAGAACAGTCTATATAAGAGATTCCACATGAGTATAAATCTAATTATATCTTTGGCCTCGTCCAATTGGCTTTTCAAACTTCACTTATGAACCACAGAAGAAATTTGTTTGAAAGGAAGACTATTTTTCAAAAAATAAGATGTCTGTCATACAGTTTTAACAAACTTCACACAAGTGCACGCCAGCACTTTTCTGAGCCATATGGGGATTTCTGTTGTCAGTTAAAAATTGTGAATACTCCCTGCACTGGTTACTGAATAAAGCTTTTTTCATAGTAGAAGCAAACAGAAAATTTTTAGGTGATTCTTTGCATCTCATCATTATTACCAGCTTAAGGCACTTTCACATTTATTTAAGTTTGTATTGTTCAAAAAGCATTAAACTAGCATTAAATTTTATGAGTAGAAGCAGACAACATTTAATCTGATCTTTTCTACAGCAGCTGTAGCTGGCTACACAGCTAATGCTTTTCAAGCCAAGAGCCAACTTTTTGTTTTTGATCACAGCATGTCTCATACTGGAAGTTTATTCTTAAACCAGTAATTCTTCTGACAGAGGTTTACGTTTTTGAATCAATCTGGCATAGTACAGGAGAGCCCCATCTTCCACTGAAGCAAATTCTCCTGACTCTTGTCCTCTAGAAAAGCTGAGGGTTCAAACAGGAAAATCCTGAAAATGGGAAACTCCACAGTGTCAGTTCCCTGTTCTATCTCCATCATCATAAAAATACAGGAGCGAGGGCCTTGCTCACAATCCAGCTGCTTTGGCTGATGCAGCTCCTTAATATCTCTGGAATTCCTCAAGTACTGCTCTTGCTTTGCAGCAGGATGAGCCTGAGCAACTTGTTTGTATGAAGCCTCACACTTAGCACACAGCATTCTCAGCACGGATACAGCCTTCTTCACTGCCATTGGAATCCACCAAGGAAAGCAAGCTGAAGAAATGCTGTTTTCTTTCCACAATTAATCCGTGCTTCTCTCTGTTTCCTGAAGGCAGCTAATCTATAGGAGGCCACTGGGGGTGCACCCAGAGGTGCAGATGGCACTCTCAGGTGCAGAGATGGCATGTCATGTCAAAATCCTGACAGCGTGAAGAACAGTGGGCTCTGCAGTGACAAACTTTGCACACAAGTGGTCTTAGCAGTGGGTTCTTAGCAGAAGCCACTCCTCTGAGTCCATGTTGTTGCAGGCAAAGGGGTTCAGTTCTGCTGGAGCAGATGGGTAAGAGATTAAGCAGAGGAGATCTTGGCTCATGTTCTGTTGAATGCAAGCATTGGGATTAGCATCATGGTCAATACCTGGCTCTGCCACCAGCATTCTTCCTCTGCCCTGTTCTAGGAATGCCCTGGGGTTTATGGGGAAATGAATGGATCTTGCCTGTGCCTTGGAAACTGCCGGGTAATGGTTATTTTACCAGCTCTACTCCAAGCTACAGGACAAGCCCTGGTTACCTTCCAGAGGTGGGTCTAACCTTCTGAGATGCTACCAAGAGGCAGATGCTTTCAAAGCTGAGACACCTGTGAAGCCATTTCTTGGTATCCTACTGGAATTAAATGATGGACAAAGCAACATTTAGTGTTCATGTTGCAGAGAGACCGTGACACTGGAATTTGAGTGTGCTAGGACCTAAGAAAACACAAGTGGGCAAAGCCATTGCTTTGATATGGTATCACAACAACAGTCCCCAAAGCAAAGTAAGACAAGATAAGACAAACAACAATTAGAACACATCAGGCAATGCGAATCCCTCCATCATGGATCTCCTCTTCCTTCAGGGCCATCTCAATACTGTGTCACAAGATTTCATTGCTTCCCCAGCTTGTCTCCTCCCCCAGTCCTCAGAAACTGGGCTCCTGCACCAGCTCTGTGTGGACTGTGCACATCCTAAGCACATTTTCAATGCTAGCAAAATACCCAGAGTGTTATAACAGACAACACATCCTTCAGTGGAAAGCTGAGTCCCCATTTCAAATTCCTCTTGAACTATTAAGAATCAGTCTGTTGTTCTTTTATTTTTTGTTTTTAGACTTTTCTCTCAGTTAAAACAGAATCTACATTTCTAAATGCAAATTGTCAAATCTTTGCTATTTTGGAGAATGATAGTTATGAGTTGACAAACAGTCCACTCACCATCTGAGAGAGCTTGTCACAACACACATAAATTAACCCTCCCCCACACAGAGTATGGGAGTCTATAAAAAAATGGATTTGTCTTTTCTTCTACTTCAGCCCATGGAGAATTATCTTCTTTGCAGAGCTTCTTGTGATGTATTGCTGCTCAATCATGCATGCTCCTTTGAAACAGCATCACAAGTTCTTCCTGACAGCAAGGAATGTGTTCCTACTCCAAGGTTACCTTTGTTCAAAATATACAATAGAAAATAGATGCTAATGAGAAAATAAATGCACAGCATAGTCTTTGGAAATGGCAGTGCTGAAGCTATCACCTTGCCTGAAGCAATAAATTCCAGGATAGCACAGGCTGTATTTTTTAAATTTATCACCTAACAAACCAGCAAGCATTGATTATATGTTTTTCCTTGAGTAATTGCCAATATCATTAATATGTTCAAAGCGATACTTAAGAAGAAAAAACAGATTCTATACACAGAATACACGTGAAACGCAATGACTGAAACTCGCTGCCACAATCCCGACAAGACCACTACTTCAGTTAACTGGGACAAGCTCAGGAAGGAGATGAAACTGTCCATGATGTTAAGAGCAGCAACAGATCGGGAGCAGCGACCTTATGCCCTGCAGCTGGGCCAGTCATGCTTGCATGGGTCCCAAGTCCCCCTCAATGTTTCCAGCCGTCAGCCCCTGTTTATGACCTCATGGAGAAACAGCTTAGAAACTATGCAAGTACTTACAAAGCAGAATACAGTACAACTCCTGCTACTCTTTCCCCAAAGTTGGACTGTGTCTCTCTATGGTAACCTAATTTATATCTAGCTATGTTATCCAAAACTGGCTTGAAGGGCTTCTTCCACTTTCATGTGATGGAGAAAAGCCAGGTTAAAACCATCCTACAGAATTTTTTCCTGCAAGTTAATAGCAATCCTTAACCATTCACATTTAATGTTTATGTCGTCACAGCCTTCCACTGAAAGACATCCAAGAGCAGAGCAGAGCAATGATTGTCTTCTCAATTGCTACCAAGAACACTGCGGAGAAAAGAGTGAGGAATGGGCAACATCTTATTTTTCTCACTGTGTTTCAGTGATGTTTCCCAATCCCTCTACACTAAGGCATATCTGTGCATGACAACCATGTACCTCATTCTGGCTGTCAAAGAACTGATCTTAATACAGAAGATAGCTGTTAAGTTGTTAGAATACCAGACAGAATGCTCCTCACCTCTGTGAGAACTGAATTACTACTATTCCCCAGAAAAAGAGCTGGTCCTACCCTCGTTAGGAAGCTCTTCAAGTACCACTGGGTTACTGAAACAGGAACAAAATAAAGAGGAAACCTCTGTAAAAGTCCAACTCCATAGCCTAACATCTACTCTGCAAACAGGGGTTTCAGAATCAAAACAAGACCTGGATTAACATTTATGGCACTTATCTATGTCGCATTTCTCACATTACCACTTTATGTTTCAGCTGAGGTGCTGAAATCCTATCTCAAAAAGGCGGCAGGAACAGAAAAGCCCTGGATAAGGAATAATACATTTTGCCCTATGCAACACTATAGATAAGAAATAAGCTTCTCATTTATTGGTTGTCACCATTCTAACAATGCTAAAACACTTTCATTTCTGAATATCACCCTTAAACATGTCCTGAACAATTAGAATAAGAAGAGCAAAGTAACCAGAGTCCTGTGCAGATAAGACAAATATCATTGTAGAAGAGGAGCCTTAAGAAACCCAGTGAACATCAGATATATATCACGCACATTCTAAATTTAAGATCGAGGGCAATTATTTTAATGTGGAACTTTCAATCACTGCTCACCCTACAGAGCTTCCCCGTGGATTTGAGGTTGAGTAATGTAGTAATGACAGTATTACCACTTGTAATAGAAAGAAACATTATAGTATCATTATCAAGGAATTACTCTTGCAATTAGTAATAA